CCCTCCAACTTAGTTTAAAGCTCTAAAGAAGGTGCTGTATGGACCAGAAACAGAGACTGCTGCTCTGAGTTGTGACCTAGCTTTAAATCTGGTAGTGTTCTAGCTTGAAATATGGTACTTGCAAGGATAACTCCATATATGTTAAAAGATATCATAAGGCACAGGCAAACAAACATATATCAAAACCCAGCTTGATGAAGACATTCTTTTCTGTTTCTCAGTGGTGACAAAATCGAGACTTTGCGCTCCCCACCCTCACTGTTAGATTGTCATCAGCTGGCCTCAAGTGGGAAGCATAACGCCTGGGTCGTTTGTCATAGCATCACTCCTAGGCTAAGCATAATTTATTCTTTTTTTTTTAAAGCAATTAGCGTTTGTGTACATATTCATTTTAAACGCACACAGAGATGAATAATGAATATCCTATCAAAACAGACAAGGCCCCAGCAAAAACAAAAGCAACCTTGGAATAAGTTGTAACTAAATTTCTTGTTTACAGGAAATGCAGGTGTATGAATGAACGATGTATACTGTTTCTAGGCTAAGCCTGTAAGAGATTTACATGATTATTTTGCCTCACAGTTTCTAACTTCTTTGCAGTTAATACTTGAATGGAAAAAGACAAAGAAAAATACTTTTTTCTATACCCCAGTTCCTGATTCAGCATCCATCACTGTATCACTAATAGTGATGATGGAGTCATCTGGGCAGAAAGACACACTTGGTTTCTTCTTTTCCTCCTTCTCTTTCATTTGTTGCCTTTCACGCCTCTTTTGTCTGTCAACATATTAATTACATATTAAAAATAAGAATTGCACTGCAATAATACCTGTTTTCTAAGAAACATATCATGAGAGATACACTGAACTAAAGGTCAAAAAGACAAACACAACTGTTGCATACAGATCAGTTCCAAGCACTACCAGAAATCTACGTGAAACTGTTGTATGAACACCTAAAAATACTTAGCAATCACACCAAAATCGGTGGTCTAATAAGCTGATTATATAAAATATTACAAAGTGCATAACACTCCATATCTACATGTTGTGTATAATCATCAAAAATCATTGCTACACAAAATGCCTGTAAGAAATCTGTAAGAAAAACTCAGGCAAATAGCAAACCACTGTTATCACTGAAAATTTCTAATTAACTATTTTACTAAAAAAGCTGCAAATTTTCTTTAATATCTGGTAATTAGGTTACGAGACAACAGTTATAGCTCCAAGCATTTCAGCTGGTAATATCAAAACTGGTATTCTAAACTCCAGCTGCAGTTACTTGTGTATCAATTGTTTTTCACCTTCAGAGTGCAGTTTCCAACTGCCAGCATTCAAAGCATCAAAATCAGAAGCAAGTGTCCTATTCTAGATGCAACGATGCAATTAAATCTTCCATGGAAAACACAGGTCTGTGAAATGTCAGGAACCTATCAGCATTGTATGAGAACTGAACAAAGATACGCATGCAGCTTAAACAAACTGTTTTAACGGCTTGTGCAATCAATTAACAAAGAATAAATCAAATTTAAAAAATAATGAATAACATACGTAGCAAAACAAAATAAAATATCAGGCATTTTACTACCCTCTGTCTGGATTCAGAAAGAGAGCCCGTATCTTGAATTATATTGAAAGAGTGCAATCCTTTTCTTCTTGAAGGTTGCTACTATCAGTGACAATATGCAGTGCAGACAGTACCCTATAAAGATCCACTGTGTAGGCAGCAAAACAGTTCATGAACAGTACATAGCAAACAGCCAGATGACAGGTCGACTTTACCACAGAAACCAGTATGAAAAACATTTCCCCATCCTTCTTCTTCCTATCAGCCTGGTAACAGCAACAACCCCTTCATGCCCTAATGCTATACTTCTGCTGTGTCTGAACTAACACTTGCTATTTTACTCTAGTCCAACAGAATTATACCCAATCCCACTTTATGTGGAGACCCGCTTTAAAGGTTTGACTTGCCTTTTTCTATTACTTTGCACATCTCTCAGTTCAAATGGTTCAACATCGGTTTTTAGCAACTGGATAGGTTCAGTTTGGGCCTGGCCACAGGCAGTGCTGTGCATAGTATGATGCTGGTGGTGTTGCTCAAATGCAATGAGATCTTGAAGAGGAATCAATTTTAGTGCCTGAAGGTGTTCAGAGAAAGAAGCAAAAATGAAACAATGAAGGAAACAGAGAGGGGAACTCCAGTCAGATTGAATGAAAAGAGTAGGTCTAGTTCGGATCTCATGTAGCAAATTGTAGAGCAAGTGAAGAGGTAGCATTAACAGCATTAGACCAATATCTCACCTAGCATGTAAACTGTTTTCTGAAAGTGAACGAAAAAATAGTGATTTTCTCCACCAAATGCATTTCACTGATACCTGCATTTCTAATGTACGTAGTTGAAGGATCAAGGTAGGAACCACACGGTGCAGGGAAGGACTGAAGAAGCCCCTTTCAAACAAAACCATATTCTTTTCAACTGGAATGCACAAGTGTGTGAGAGTCCATCAGAACATCATTTTTCAAAACACCAACTTCAGTTCTCAACATCCAGAAATAAGGTTTTCTTACCAAGCCTTCTAGTATTCCATTTCTACCCTATAAAAGATGTTTTCTTTCTGCATTCTATTTCTGTAAACAATTCTATTTAAATTTCTGCAAAAACAGAACTATTTTTGACTATATAAATATTATCCAGTATTTTAGATAGTAAATTCCTTATGTTCACTACTAATGGGCTGAATGTTAATGAACTATGGAATGTGGAATCAATCTAATGTCACTGAAAATATTTCCAAGCTTACAGCCTGCCTCATACTGACAATGCCAGTAAGAAGGAGGTACCTCAGTTACAGATCCCTTCTGGTAGCTGTGCTGACCACTTCCAAATTCCCTAACTTATTTTTGATGAGTAAGAAACCATGAAACTGAAAATCGTACAACTTTTAAAAATACATTTTTAAAATCCTACCTTCTTTTTTTGAGGTAAATTAGCATGAAGTAGTGATATTCCTGTGTGCTGTACTGTTTCTCTGGAGTCAGCCTCCTCTGTCGCAGGTTTAACAGGTATTAAAGTAGTAGTGGTTGGCTGCCTTACAACTGCTGGAAGTCTGGGAACTGGGTCATGTTGCAAGTGCAACAGTGGAATACCAGCCAGGTTCTGCGTGATCAGTGCTTTGTCCATATCCACATTTGCAGAGAACTGCTGCTGCGGTGAAACTTCTTGCTGTCTTTCATACTGGTCTAGATTCAAGTGTTTGGGAGGTCCCTTATGCACTGTTTCTGCCCATCTTTCCTCTTCTTCATGCACTTGCCTTGGGATCCCAGGGTCATCTCTACTCATGTTCAAATCTTCTGACTTACTCTTTCTTGGTGTGTGCGATGACTGATGGTTCCCTACAGAATGTGATGAAATCCAAGCTACTCGTGGTACTGCGGGTGGTTTAGCAAAAGCTGATGACATTTCTATGGGACGTAAAAATGCTGGTTTGAAATGATAACCTGATTCAAGCTTAAGCAAAGGAAATCCATTTGAATAATTCATTTTTTTTTCTATAGGGATAAGCTTTGGTGTCTTCTGGATGCCTGAAGAAGGAGCTAGCAGATGAAATGGTTTAGCATGTGCTGAAGAATTCAAATCTGGAGATGGTGTCATAAATCCTGTTTCTTTGCTGTAGCTTTCTAATAGGCTTAAAGAAACATTCACATCCAGATGATTCTGAATCAGAAAAGCAAACAAAACAGCATTTACAAGTACCCTGAAATATAAACCATGCATTAAACATAGTACAGATAATTTCTCACTATCAGCAATCACTACAAAAACATTTCCTAATTTAATAGGACAGATAGCATATCAGGTATATAGAACAGTCCTCATAAATGACACTTTGATATACCTACTTTTATACGCCCATTGTTGCTTTCATCTCTTAAACTATTCCTTGGTTGAAAATCAGAACTCTTCTGACTAGGTTTTCCTTTATCTTCCTGAATGGGCAGTTGTGTTTTCAGAGATCCATTGTCTCCAGCAGTGTGTGCAGGCTGGCTTCCTTCCAGGTGAACAGGTTCACGCTGTTGCAAAATTTGTTGCACATTTGGCAGGTTGGAAAAGGATGACTGCACTATTTGCATTAAACTCATGAAGTTGATTTGCTGTAGCTGGATACACACACACAAAGTTAACACTGCAAACAACTTTAACAGGTATCTTAGCAAAAATTCTATGTCTAGGCTGTTAACTGTCCATTATTCTGTTAACGTAAGTGACAAAATAAACATCCCAAAGTTTCAATAATCATTCATTTATATGACTTTTTATCATACTGGAGTTTCTTTTAAGATACATTAAATCTGCCACAGATACATTGTACTACAGCAAGACAAATTCCTTCACTTTTTTGGTGAAGTTTGAGTAAATGTAAGGTCGCGTGACACTGTCTCCCTGTACTAACAAAAATTAATTCCTAGTTACAGATTCAGAATTTTTCCTAATCTATGGTATTACGGCACACTGAGTTATGTGAAGTAAAACACACTCAAACTTTTATTAATTAGATTAGTCATTTTCGTGAGCTGAAAGCAACAATTACGTCTAAAATAAATTCTCACATTAGTTTACATGGAACTGGAAATCTTTTTTAAAAACAACCACACACAGAATTCCTTTAAAACATTAATTATCTCCATTGTTTTAAAGAACACAGCTTGTACTGTGAACATTATTTTCAATGAGATGCTCTCACCTGAACTAACTTAAACATTTCATCTTGGAGCATGTGCCTGACAGATTGCGATGTGTTCAGTTTCGCTTCTGCAGGGACTTCTTCCTTGACCTCTTGCTGCTTTGTGCAAAAGGAAGTATTGGAGGCAACACTTGACACAGTTGACACAACAGTCTGAGAAGGCTGACTGTCGCTTGCAGAAACCTCTGTATTACTTAAGAAGGAAAAGAACAAAACTGTGAAAAACATTCATAGTTCAGAACACCTATATGAGGTTGTCTTATATCAATCCAGAAAATTTTAAGGATCCTTCATTTTTCTAAAGCATGATCAGTTTTTAGGAACAATTTAATAATTAACACTGCACAATCTTCTTTGGAGAGCATGTATGACATTTTCCTAACACTTCCTAATATAATGAATAAAAAACAGTAATAAAGACATAACTTCTATCTGATTTTTTCAGTCTTAGTGGTATCTGAAACATTATCGTCACTAGAAATTCAGGCAGAAACCAAGAATTTAACAGAAAGAGAGCCTCCTTAGTCATAAAACCAAACAGCTGATGGAAAATGGAGAAGGACATTATTAGCTGAAATAAGAGAGAAAGCAGATTCACTTTCACCTAAATAATTAAATGTGCCTTTACATATTTGGAATTAAAAATCAACAACAGAATTTCAGATCAGAAAACAAAGTAACATGTAAGATGATACAATACATAGAATTTTCTCACAGAGATAATTAGATCTTACAGTAAGTAAAGGCTTTTAAGTAGGTTAAGTCCTTTAATAAATAAGAGGTTATGATTTACAGTAAGTTATAATGAAACTGAAGGATTTTACCTACAAAAACAGAAATTGACCCAAAAGACATTTCTCTATTTAAGAAAAATGCTGATATTCCTAATGGTACAGGCAAACTTTGGAGCATTTTTCACAACTGAAAAGAATGGCCTCCAAGCAGGTGAAGAAACAGAAGCATAAAGCTAATGAGTAATACTGAAAAGGTTTTGTGTAATAGGTGTGAAAGGGCACAGGAAATATTTGGAAGAAAATCAGAACGTGTAAGCATGGCCTGACAGAAATTTTTTTTTTTAAAAAGCTAGTATGAAAAACTCAGGAAGGAAATGAGATTAAAGATACAAGAAAATTGAATCCAAAGGGATGGGTAGTTCAGAACCTTCTTGAAACTGAAAAAACCCTCAGAGAATTGCTCTAGTAGTGAAAGCCTAAGATTGACTCCTGACCTCTTTTCCTAATTCCAACAATCTCCCTGTTTACAGAAATATTATACATATATTTATGTGTACCTAGCAGTTGCTGTGGGAATTTATACAGTCTAATAATCTAATTAAAATATTAATACAAGTTTACAGTGTTATTGTTTAGGTGTTTCCTGTTACAATGTATCTTCTGTAGCAATATTATATAATTATAATGATTCTGTCTGGAATGAGAAGAATCACTTGTCTTGCAATCTGGTATCTCTCAATCAACACATCTGATTCATGTGATATTCTGGATAACACACAAGACTATGATCTTCAAGAATTATAGTACAAAAAGATTTCAAGAAAGAGTAATTAGTACTGCGGTTTTCAGGTGCAATATACTAGACCTGCAAATATTTTGTAATCAAATCTACACATCATGTTACTTCAGGCTGAAAATCTAATAGGGATAGTTAATTCTTTATTATATAAAATTTTATAGGTTTATCTTACCTGGGAACTTCTGCATCTTGCTCTAAAGAGAAGGAGTGAGAAATGGTGCTAGTAACCACCTCAGTCATCCTATAAAGAAAGAAAAAATTAGTGTTGTAAATACTACAAGAATTCGTTACGCTCTTTATTTTGATTTTATATACATTTATATAGGTATCTGGCTGCGTATGTATAGGTGCATATAACCTCACAAAAAAAGTATTTTAAGTAGTATGAGATAATATACCTGAAAGCCACCTGACCAGAGCTACACTGATCTGCACGGCTTCAATTACTGCATTACACTGCAATTTGAGCTGGCAAATATTGACATTCATGTGTTGTCTCCCTAGCAATCAAGAACTAACTCAAACAAAATCACTGAAAAGGTTCTGCAAATTCAACACAAACAACAGGCAAAAAATAAGCTGACCTGAGCTGACAGAAAAATAGAAAATCAAATTTAAGCAACACTGTTAATACAATCTGCATTCCTGAAAAAGAAAAGCCAGTATCAATAAATCCTCGAGGAGCATCATACGTGCAGTTATTTTTGTTTCTTTCAAAACAAAAATATAGCAGTTCAAAACAGTAGAGAATTCTAAGTCTTTCAAAAATTAAGCCATTTAAAAGTTTTTCCACATAACATTTTATATACACAGGAATATTTATTTATATGCCATCACATTTAGTAAGATTTTCTAAATATAAAGACACTCAGGTACTGTGTATCAGAGGAAAAATTACTACAAATTCGGGGAATCAGTAAGATAGCTAATTGAAATAATAAAAATAGATGGGTATTCTTCTGTCACGAAACAAAAAAAAATCTCAAAATACCAAGATTCCTCATGGTAAACATAATAAAACCTGTGTTTACAGAATATAAAGTTTCTCCCCTTGAAAAACTTCAGAGTAATCAAACTGAGCAGTAATCTATTCAAACAGATGACGTGACAATCAGGCTTATGGATTGTTTCTGTAATTTTATATACATTATATTAAATGAACAGTTATATTTTAAAACATAAAATTTTAAGATTATCATAATGGAATTTCTTAAGTTGTGTAAAATACCTCTCTACCTCTTCCACGAGTTACCAAGCTTATCAGCTATATCCATTTTCCCAGAAACCAACCTCTCTTTATTCTATGTTGTGTAACACATGAGCTGCTAAAACTGCCCAGAATAACAGCTGTCCACCTGTATTTATCTTGAAGATGCTGCTCCCATTTAAAGTCCGGAGAAGGAATTGTGTGTCTGAAAGCTTTTCCAGTTATTCTCTATCCTTTCCCAGATATAAAATACACCTTCCCACAAAGCATGCCTCTTTTATTTGATCATTACTAAATAACCACTCATCCACCCCTCACTTTGCATATGCAAAATGCCTGTACATGGGTAACAGAAGACAACTGAAACTTTGTTCCAAACTAAGTCCGTTGCTACGAACAACAGCAAGAACCCACCGCGACTTCGCTGGATACAGTAACTCACCAAACTACTTCAGATTTTTAAGCAAAGTTACAAGAGAAATTCAACCAACAACAAAAGTGTCTCACACATTCTGTCCAGTCTTTCCTTCCTTTGTTTCTTCCACCTTTTCATTTTCTTGGGGATGATCCACACCTGAAATGGAGACCTGCTGGAATATAAAAAGATGCATCTGAACTCATTAATTTTTACATCTCCCTTTTGCTTCAATAAAGTATTATTTTATGAGTTTAAGGCAAACATACTTTTGGTTAATCTGCCACCTGAAAACAATCTGACTGAAAACCAATCAAAATTACACACTTACTGGAGGATTACTAAAGATATGGATAAAGAATATGGAGATATCCTAATGATTCATCTAAGCATCTTTCCTTTTAGGAGATTATTATGGGTTTTTTATTTTCAAATTCATATCCATATAGTACCCTGGAAATATGCGCTGCTAAAATCACACCCTCTAGGGTAAAGGTGAAAATGTGGAAACAACCCTACTACACACTATCTATAAACCAAGAAATTGAAACAAACACAGGATTATACACATTCCACAGATTCACACTAGTAAAATGCACTGTAGAATTGAAGACCACGATACATTTATTGTTTCTAATCCCATTAACAGCACTGAATCTACAGTACTACAGGCAAGTAAACCCATGGCACGGCAATTCACATTTCAGCATAATAGCCCCTAGCCAGTTTCAAAAGAAAGGAGACTTAGGACGAAAGATGACCCATGAAAAAACAATGCTTGTTTACAGATCCAGATGGTTTTCAGACAGGAGAAAAATAAACATCCTCACATATTTAAAAATGACCAAGCATGGAGATAAGTGGTAGAGTCTTAGTCACCCTGTGACAATTTCAGAGACTGCACACATTTTTAAAGAAACAAAGAAGTTGTTAATACAGCTTTCTTGTAAAACAAAATACACATAAAAATCTGGTCCATTAACCAAAGGACCACATGTACTTTTTTTAAATTTACATGCTTTTGTATATATGTGTGCATACATAATCATATATTAATATGTAGTGTTATACATTATATATATTTAATACAATTTATATATACATGATTATATACATAGGCATATACATATTTAGTTTTAGATAAACGAATCAGTTTTCAAAAGTGCTCCCAGCAGATTTCCCTTTACTACTGTTTAATCACTTGTGACTTTTATTATTGATTTAAACAGGGAAAAAATTCATCAATCCTAAACATTTTAGGCACTCAAGCTCTTAAGTATATTGAAGAATTCAGGACATTCTAAAATGAGTATTCATAATAATTTAATGATTCTATGCAAGATGGTAACTTGCCTTTCTTCCTTCATGTTCTACAGGTTTGATCTTGACAGAGTTACTAGAGCTCTTTGGAGTTTCATATGGCTCCTCAAAGAAGTCTACAAAATAAATACAATTATTTAAATCAGAAAATTACACGACAAACAGCACTCTTAATTGATTTTTGTCAACTAGTCACATTACTCCATCTTTTCCCCTAGCGAGGAGAAAGGGGTTGTCTCAACAAATTCAAAATCTGTGTCATTACGAGTGCTGATGCATGCACATGAAGAAGAAAAAAAAAACCCAAAACCCAACCAACAACCAAAAAAAAAAAAAAAGCAAGCAACAAAAGAAAGGCAAAAAAACCCAACCTTATTTTCATGGTAGGAATATGATAAACTTAACTTATGCATACTCTGGTCTTACAATTTTCAAATCATGTTTTACACATTTGAATATTTTGAACTAAATTAATATGAATATTTTTGGAATGAAAGTAAACGTGACAATGAAGTATGTTAATATACACTGTCCTATCTCTACAGCAAAAAGACATTACATAAGGGAAAAACTGATCAGAAAGTCTTGAGAAAGCAATTGTCTAAGAGCTATAAAACAGATACACTAATAATTTCAATAGAACAATAAAAAATTCCATTTTTTTATTAGAGGGACAAATAATCTTATTCAGGCAAAATTCCTACCGTTTCACATGTCAAGATGATAGTAAAAGTATGTAACACAAAACCAAACCTTCTCTTTCTGCTGTTAGATCTAACTCCTCCTGAACAAATGGTCCCACTTCATTAAGATCTTCAGTCATACGAGGTATAGAATAATTCCCATGACTAATTTCCTTCTTAGCAAAATATTTTGACGTTGCAGACATTCTGGTAATTGGAATTACAAAAGGTAATTAACAATTAAAACAATATAAGTATCTGACAGTTTAAGCATGCTGTTCCTCTCAGACTAGTGCATAACTGTAAAATGAATACTGTTTTAATGTAACCATGTTCATGTATTTGTTCTCTCTGAATTTCACTTAAACCAAGATTCATATAATTTTTGGTATAGCTGTGATATTTTAGTGACATTAATGGTACAGTCTCTCAGGTGGACTATTTCCAGAATAATTTAACCAACATTACCAAAAATGGAAGTACCAAAAACGGAAGGCATAAACTGCACCATGACTTCAAAATCATCCGGTTAAGATTACATTTATCTTCCACACATAAACATCCTTTACTTAAAAAAAAAATTCTTGTTAGAGAAGACACACTGTAATGTCTCAGAATAGTAAAACCAAAGATGTTTTGTTTCTTTAGTGCAGCAGAAGATGAAGAGAAATGTCACAAAGGACTTCAGTTTAAGGAATCTCCATCTTCAGAACTGGGGAACATATTAACAAATAAAATATTTACTGCCTTTTGCATCTATTTTTTTGACATGCACTCATATGAACATAGGTAGATTACAGGTCCAGTGAAAATAAACTAACGTTGTGAAATTTTAACACAAAGAAAAATACATTAGAGAGTGGAAGTTATCTGAATTCTTTGAGAAAACCATGGTATCAATTATATCAGAAATCTAGATTTCATTTCCACAGCATTAAGTTTATAAACAGCCATGTACAATTCACCTCATGTGCAACACCTACATTGTTTTCTACCTATGGCTGCTGATGGAGAACATTTAATCTGCTTCATGCAGCTGCAAACAATATGCATGACTGACTTTGCATTCAAAATTAAACACGTATGTAACACGTAATCACAGTAGAACCCTTCATACTGACAGACTGCCTAGCTGAGGAATTACAACCAAGCAGACTTCTTAGGTTAAAAAAGAAAGATTACCCAAAGCCAGTTTCACAAAGATCATCATAGGCTTGTACACCCTGGACATCAAGGGAAGGACTGGCCAGCATGGAAGAACCTTCATCCATACTACTTTCTTTCTCTGTCCTAGACTGGGCTTCTGATTGAGATGCAAATCCTTTCAGATACCGATTATCTGGATGCTATTAAAAATAATAATGATAATTCACTAGTTAAAAAAAAAAAAAAACAAAACACCAAACCTGCTACTTCAAAAAAACACAACCCAATGGTTTCATGCTTAACATCATTAACCTTCTCTTTATTATAGAGATGTGAAATTCTGGATTTACAGTTGCCCACTGAACCTGAGTTCTGCCCCTTTTTGCATTAAGTGAAGCAACGGTCCTCCGAATTACTCAAAGGAAACAATACATAAGAGATTTGTGAGCATCAATTGAACGTCTATTGTCAAAGACGCTACGTGACAATTAAATATACCCTATACAAAGATATACAATAAGATTTGGCCTTCATCATGTACAACACAAACCACTCAAATTATCACTGAAGACAGTATGAGAGGCAAAAAGCCACACATAATCACACACCTATATGCATGGACAAAATGGTGGCAGTAAGTTGCAAGTAAAATACAGGTGGCCGTTGCCAGAAAACACAAATCAAAATCAAGACAAATTTTTTTGGTCTGGGAGAAAAGCCCTCTCAAAAAAACCCACAACCCTCTCTCCTCAAAGCCTTTCATGTAGACTTAATTAAAAAGGGTAAGAGATCCAGCTGTCCTGAAATATAAAACAAAGCAATACTCATCAGGTTGTTCTGGCAAATCTCTTTTTTTATATTAACACATACTCCCAACTGTGTGTAACCGTGATCGTGAGAAATTAAAAATTCACTTTTCACCAACTTTTAACTGGTTTAAATACTCCAGTCAGACTGCATCTTCACTGTCCTCAGAGACAAATTAATCTAAATTAAAGTCTCCCCCGAGAAACTACTTCTTTATTCTTTGCCTTGTTTTTTTCCATACTCTATTTCCAATACAAGGTTTCTTCAAAGCCGATGTATAAAACTAGAGACAACGGCCAAAGTTGTAGGAATTTGCTCAAATTATGCTGTATCTAGATATATGAGTTAGATCTTAAACAGGATTTCCAAAGAAAACTTTAATCTCCAACCCAAGTCTTCCTACAGAGACAACTCCAGCATTCCTAGCAACCTATAAAGAAAAGGCTATTAATCAATATTCCAGGTTTTACTGAGAACAGAAGTACAAGGTAGAAGGTGTGTGTGTTTTTCTTTAGTGGCACAACTAACTCACTGACATTTACCCCATCCTCTTTCTTACCTTAAATTTTACGCTCTTTGCTTGAGATCCATCTCTGTCTAACTGTTCTAAGAGCCACAAAGAAGTAAGGACAGCAGCTGCTGATGTTTTCACATGTATCATTGGGAGAGTCTCTTCTATGGAATCTTGTTTACTGGCACCACAAAACAGTCTTTTATCAGACCACCTAATCATCCACTCCAGCAATTTTGCAATACTGCTCAACTTATCCATCAATTTTATAGCTAGTTCTTCTCCTGGTATGGTATCAATGATATCAACGGTTTTGTAAATGTATTTAGAAGCTGTCTGAGTTTGCAGGCTAGACAAAGTATGCTTAGGAAAGGTCTGGGTTGCTGATGCCACAGTGACTCCTTGACTGTGACTCTGAGTTCTGTAAATTGACTTATGTTTTAAACCAAATAATCCTTCATTAAGTCCTTTCCTTAAGTTATGCACAGTAGGTTCTGCCGTCTGTACAACAGACTGTACAATGGTTGAATTTTCCAAAACATTTTGGTCTTCATTATAGACAGACACTGTTTCAGGATCACACGAGGCCAACGTGACAGTATAGCAAGACCCTGCTCTAAACACACTCTGGCTTCTGGTTTTGCCTTGTCTACGTTTTAGTGTTGTGTGAACATCAAAAAAGAGGGAGTTTAATTCATGCTCCCGAAGAAGTCCAGAAAAGCTAGTAAGAAATGGAATTCCCACATCACTGTACTTTATCAGGTCTCGTTCAAGAACGTAACTCAAAAAGAGTTCTAAAAAAATAACATATTCATCGTCATCACGTTCAAATTCCCATGCACCAACTATGGGCAAATTACACTGATTATGCATGTGTTTTCCATATTCTTTATCTTGATGTTTTATTTTCCGGTTAAGAGGTTTTATCTTGTGTGTGGTATTTTTGCTACCTATTTCTCCTTGTGTCTGATGTTCATAATCCCTGTAAGACAACAAACAGAAGTACTGTGAACGTCAACATCAATTTTAAGAAGAATTACATGAAAAAATAAGTAAATGCAACACTAGTTCCTTTTCTTGCTCTATTCTTAAAAACAGGAAACTAACAAGGCGAAATTTACCTTCAGCCTTCCAGTACCTGAAGGGGGCCAACAAGGAAGCTGGGGGGGACCTTTTACAAGGGCCTGTAGTGACAGGACAAGGGGTAATGGGTTTAAATTGAAAGTGGGGAGGTTTATATTGGATATCAGGAAGAAATTCTTCCCGGAGAGGGTGGTGAAGCACTGGAATAGGTTGCCCAGAGAAGCTGTGGACGCCCCATTCCTGGAAGTGCTTCTGGCCAGGCTGGATGAGGCTTTGAGCAACCTGGTCTAGTGGAAGGTGTCCCTGCCCATGGCAGGGGGGTTGGAACTGGATGGTCCTTAAGGTCCCTTCCAACCCAAACCATTCTGTGATTCTATGATATATTAATACATTGCTAAGGTGTCAGTCAAATGCAAAATCCATAGTTTTTACAAAGAGAGCAACTCATCAGTATCATACATGAACTTGGTCATAGTTGATAATAATTTAGACTTCAGTAACCTCTTAGTCACATGTTAACTGATTTAACATTGGCAGTTTTAAGATTTGGCAAATTTTTAATTCTTCATCTGATATATTACCCAAAGTGACAATTACCCATTTGGTGAAAACATTACTTGAATAGTAAAAGATTTCTATTTATTTACTTATTTAAATTGAAAGCTTTCTGCTGCAGTTTTTTTCATACCTTTGGACTGGAGGTGTTTGAACTCTCATTTCTTCAGTACACAATGCATCAGAAAGAGTATCTGCTGTGTCAGCATCACTATGTACCTGCGAATTCCCAAGATCAGTAAGTGTGCTTCTGCTTAAACTAGTGCTTAATGAAAAACTGTCATAACAGTGTTCCTCATCATCCGTTGCTCGCTCTTCTGCTGGCTCCCAAATATTACTTTCTATGGGGCCTATGTTTCTTATTACATGTCCCAAGGCTTTCTTTCTCACTTTTTCAGTAGCTTGTATAAAAACAGACATAGTTTCGTCGCTTTCAGGACCTACCAGAAGAAAGAAAACAAAAATTTTAAATGCCAACTTCTCAGCTTTCAATTATTCTCTCAAATTGAGATATGGATGAACTTTGAAGCATCATAAATTATAGCCATTTAGAAATACAGACAGAAACTGTGAAAAAGTGAAGAAACACCATTAACTATACTCTGTTATTGGTATAGAAATATCAGAAAGAAAATACAGAATTTGCCACTAAAGCTTTCTATCTCATAACTACAATAATTGTTTTACATGAGGTATAAAAGAAGGTATTCTTACAAATTAATTTATAAGCAGGGTAAAAAAGGAAATTTGTTTAATATTTCCTGAAGAAGGATGCACATTACCTTTAACAATGCTGTGTCTGAGTCGCTGCTGAAGCCCATGGTATTTATCTCTTAGTGGAACCCTTATATCTTCAGGATTAGGAAATGCTTTCACAAAAATCTCTGCCACCTGCACAAAATAGATTATCTGTTCAAGCAGCTAACATACGAGTAAGGTATAATTTCCATCAGAAGTTACACCACTAGAAAGTCAAACCCATAGCTTTTACAAGGCAAGTAAGTATTTGTGATAATCTCTATTGCTTTTGTTCTAGTTTTAATGTCTTTTACCTTTTTCACTGGTGGCAATTCTCCAAGTAAACTCAAAATTACATCTTGAACTAATTCTTCAACATTCATGAACCTGCAGAAAGGAAGCATGCGACAAGCCCACTCCACTGCATTCAGACAATGCTCAACTGTGGAGGCATCATATTCATTCTTCTTCGGATCCTAAAACATTAATTGATATGAATATACTTCAGCTAAGTTACTCATACACTGCAAATTGTAATGATTCTTCCCTAGCCAACAGAAAATAAAATCTCCAACTTAACAGCCAAATAGAGGAGTATACAATGCTAGGAGACAGATCAAGATTGTATGGACCATACGCATTTTTTAATCAGCTTAGGAAATACTTCCATTAACACCCTGCTGAAGAGTTTGCCTGCAGTCATTCAGAGTAAAACTTGAGAAGCTGACTGAACTAGCCCTAACTTGTTTAATATAGTGAATTACCAGGTGATGTAAATAATTTATGATCACTTTAAGTCACAGAATAATTCTTTACTGGAATAAAAGATAGTTAAGCCAGACAAGAGGCTTTTAAGATGGATTTCTCTCTCATTTGTCACTGTTACACAAAGCACAGAAAAAACAAAATATTCTACTACTTGAAACAGAGCCATCCTGTTTATGTGAAAATTGTTTTATCTGGTGAAGAGGAATTTTGAACTTGTTTTGAAAAGGAAGCAAACCGCTAAGGACAGCTGGGTTGCTAGACTAGACAGGACAAAAAAAGAAAATCAGTATCTGAACTGTTACAGAATATATGACAAATATCATACCAGTAGTTTCCTTTTTTCTCCCTTGACCTCTGACATCAATTGATGATGGTATAAGTACAGAAAACATGATTAAATTTTAATATTTTTCATTATCTTTTTGAAAATCATGTATATTTAATGCACCAAACCAACATTGTTTAGTCAAGAAACACCCAAAATATCTTAATCTAATGACAATTTAAAAAAGCATATGCTTAGATAGACACCAAGTGTAGAAACTATAGCTCTTCTGGCATCATGTCTCCAATTATCTGAATAAAGTATCAAGTAAAATCCCAACAGAAATCCTATTAGAAGGATGTAGTTCACATGGACAGCACTAGTCTGTAGCAACACATACTTACCACACATTATAGCACTGTGCTAATTTTCTCCTATTAAGCAACTAAAATTCTCACAGAAATATACAGCAGACCTTTAGAATTCTTGTTACAGCTTTTCGCAATTAAAATGCATGTTTTCTGTATTAGTAACAGAATTACCTTATGATTGTTAATGTTTTCCCTTGCAGTTTGGTACCGCCTACAGTTGTCAGATAATCTTTCACGAACATGAAACATCCAACACAATGCACACAGCTCTCTGAACCAACCTACGATGCAAACAGACAATATGGTGAGATTCTATTTTAATTAATTAATTAATTGAAACAGCTTGAGAGTTTTAGCTAGAAGAAAGGAATTAACAGTACACCTTAACAGTAGTTAAAGGGGAAAAAAAAAAAAATCATTCTTGAGTTTTCGGTAGTGCTCTGCAGCTAGAGTCCCACTTAGTGCTCATGTTCTTTCATATGCAGATCTCAAACACAGACAACAATCCAGAAGAGCAACTTTCAAACTATTTCAGGCAAATAAGAGTTCCTTTGCACCTGTGGGTTCTCATTTGCATTCTTTTTTTCCAGTTTTAAATTATTCTACTTTATTGCATACAGACCTAAAATTTTACAGGTAATATCATCAAACTGATGGTCTCCAGAAGACGCAGATCTATAGAGAACAGTGCGGAAATTTGAGTAACGAAGCAAAGACCCTGGGAATGGACTCAGCAAAGGAAGAGATCCTTTCATTCGAATCTATAGATACAAAGAAATAAACAATCAAAACTGAAATAAAAATCAGTTAAAAGTTTTGTATGTATCACTACTAAGTGTACAGCTTCTCAGTTATTAGCAGAATACTGAAAAGATCAGTAAAACTCCCTTAAGCTTGCTTTCCACTTTCTTCAAATCAGTATTCTGAAAATTCATTTAAAAGAACATGTTTAGGATGGCCTAGGACACAAAAAATGCGTTTGTGTGGTACCCATGATACTCGTGATTACCATGAAATACAAGAGGAGCAAAGTAGAAGAACTAAGATCACAAGAAAGAAACCAGTTCAATCCAACTGGTGTCAACCAAGGCAGACTAGTTTTCCCTCCTCTTTCAGCTGGTACTTTGAATACGTGCCCACCCCTCCGCCCCCCTCGCCAGCATTAAGCATGTGAGCATGCAACGAGCAAACAGAAGGAAATACTACTAAGTCAGACCAGTTCCTGATCTGTATCACTGCATGAAAGCTGGTGCAGGGAGGTTGAGGGAAGGCAGACAGTCATAGACACACACAGTCTCTGTAGCAAGTCAGCTTCCTTTAAGTGGATGTATAACAATTACCTAAGCAAAGTGTGAGGTTACACAGAATTTTTTATTCAGTATATTCCGAGCTTGGTTTTGTGCAAACAAATGCACATGAGTAGAATGAGATCTTCTAAGTCCTGTGCTCTGTGCAGTAAGACGACCACTTTACCTGAAGTGAGCATGACATTCCCTGTTACATATTCAACCCTAAGTGATTTGGAACACACTTCAGTTAACAGCTGTAACTCACAATTAAAATCAGTTTGTTTCTTTTAAATGGAGAAAGAAATGAGTTTGTACGTTACCAAATGGGTACAGAAAGGCATGTAGAAGGAGACACCCTACATCTTTAAGTTCTGGTTTCCTAAAAGAACTGAACATGGAGTGTAAAACTAGAAGACGACCACATGTAAAAAACGTAACATCAGAGTCCAGATGAGAATCAATGCTTCTGCAATGTAATTACCAGCGTGTCAGTAACATTTATGAATGATAATCAGGTTACAAAAAAACAAGGTAAATGCTTACTTTTTGCATAACTTTTCTTGCCCACTTCAGTCGTGCAATATACCACTGTGCTGCAGGACAGGAACAATGAGCAGCCCGGAAGAGCAAGATAATTCGCTGAAGAACTCCTGACACTTTCTGACGACTTTCTCTCTCGATTTTTAAAAGAATGTCATTGCAGTCTTCCTGAAAAAAATGCAAATTCCAAGACAAAAACAAGCCTCAAAATTAAAAAGGACATATGCGATAAGGAATCTGACCTAAATGTCATTTCTGCTCCTAAGAATATTATTCTTCTTTACAGCATAGATCCTTTATGGAATAAACAGAGGCACACATACTTTCTTAACATTACGGTACTATTTAAGTAAATGAATTAACATAATAAAAACAGACAGAAAAATGAGCTGTAAGGAACCTGAATAACAATCATGATTATTTCATAAAGACATTCAAACAAAGACCCAAGAAACTTCTTTTACGCATGCTTACTTCACTGAGAGAAGCTGGTTGAGGACAGTATAATGGTGGTGCTGGAAGATAAAGCCCATCTGGAACTAAACCATACAATTTTCTGCTAAGATCCTTAGCAGAATCCATCAAAAGCTGAAACGTCTCTGAGAGAATATCAGCATCTGCCATAACAGCTGCTTTCAGTAGTTCCTGTATTGAACTATAAAGAACATTTGCATCTTCCTCTTCAATGGGATCTATAAAACATTAAGCACAGAAACCGATAAATTAACTAACTCAATGAATTTATCTTTCATTCTGAAATTATGAGACTGCACTATCAGAGTTTGCATTCGTCTATTAGAATGTATACATTGCATCTACTTGCTTTCAGATAAGATTTCTCACATTTGAAAATGGTATTCGATTATTAATTTTACTTTTTGCCACATTAAGGGAACGCTATTGCTTCTCTAGACACAGAATTGAACTTTTCAGATGTTCATTTCTTGGCAAAAAATTCTGGCAAATCATTCTCATCAAGCAGGCATAAACGAGGAATATTATTAATAATGACTATAACAACTCTTTTATCAGTAAGCATGATGATCAAGGAAAAGGAAAGGTATTTTTTTGTATTCCATTTTTTTCCTCATCTCCTAGAATTAGCAAGAACATACATCGATAGTTGGTTCCTGAAATTCACAAAACATTATACTGCTCTACTTCCATTTCTACTCCTCCTGCTTGTCTTGAAATATGTGCTGCCAAATACTTCCCCTACCTATCATACTAACAGATCATTAAATACAGCATGTATATGTGCGTGTTTGAAATAAAATCCTTGGAAGTGAGTACAAAAGAAGAATCTACACAGTGTTTGGGACGTAGCTTACATAAAGATTAACCAACATGCATCTGCTGACAAGAACTTGAAATGTGATTTCCAAACATACAAAAATAAAGTAAGGAATAGAGATCGTGCCAATAAATGTACTGTAAAATGTAAACGAGAACAGGTTGATCTAGCTAAGTGGGGGAATTTCAGCTGGTTATGTGATAAAAAGCTCGTATACAAACATAGAAAGGAGCACAGAGACAACAGCAGGCAGTGTAACCTGAATAATATTGAGGCTCCTCTACTCACAGTTAAAAAAATCAACCCATGAAAAGCTATCTCCACAAGCCCAGAGACGCACAACAGCAAATCATGTGCTCAGAGAAACAGACATCCTATCCAGGTTCTTCCCAGGCGAGCCATCAGCCCCAGTGTCTGGGCATGAAGCCTATCAAGATAAGCCAATGGGAGTGGCTCTCTTCAGTATTTTCTGGCTTGACAGGGGTTACTGTCAAGAAGTATAGAATATACTACAGGATGAAGGGGAGGTCTTTTGGGATTGCACAAAGCTCACTACAGGATCTTTGGGAAAGAAACCAAAGGTACGACAAGGAGTTGTGGCAGCCTCACCTCTGTTGGGCCTTGTCAGCACAAGTCTATTTTTCTGGGTGAGAGATTCTCTATTCTGTGTGTCTGAGTATAGGATTTTAAGTGCCAGCAGCTGGAGTGGGAGCACAGGTGAGAGCCCCCATGTATCCACAGTGCCAGCAACTGGAGCAAGTGAGGTGGCTATGTAAGTGAATGTTTGAGGGACAGCAAGTCAGACTAACCAACCGGTAAGTGACGCACCCCAGGAGCTATGGGTGTGTGCATCTCACTCTTGCAAGAGTGAGACTACAGGAGCTGGCAGTGACTGGAGGGAGCAGTGAAGACCTGGCCAATTGCCTGAGACATGACTGCAAGACCTGCTTGTGCTTCTACATATCTCTAAGGGCAAGAGAAGGGGATTTGGATACTGGAGGAACCAAGGGAGCTGTGATGACCTGCCAGGAAGACAGGGTGTCCACAAGTGTCTGTGTCTCCAGGGGTGAGGGACCTGGAAAGACTGAGGATCCCAGACCAGCAAGCTACTGGAACAACTGTATATTCAGGGGCCGCTACCGTGGGAGTGCACAGTGTGTACCTGGGGGAACAGCACATCTGTGAGTGGGTCTGTACCAGAAAACAGAGTGGGGCTGTGGCTCTGGGGGCTCATAGACGCAGACGCATTCAGCTACTGGTTCTAAGCCCGGCCCCGGAGGGACCCACATTGTACATACAGGTATGTATAGGCAGACTTTCATCCTAACCAGCAAGAGATGGAAAGGGGATGGAATTGTTTGAGAGTGCTGAGCATGTCTCTAAGTGCTGAACTGTGTGGCCAGATGTATGTAGGTGTATATGTGTGTTTGTGTATGTGCCTACTGGGAATACATTCTCCGCCTTGCTAGCTGTTGGACCTGGGGACATAGAGGTGTCAGGCTATGAGATACCAATCCCTCCTCTTTTAACAGAAATGAAAGGCAAAAATTAAACAGCATACTTAAAATAAGTATGATGATACCTTCCATACTGTTAATACATTCACATTTGCTTCAGGGCATATTTTTGTTATTTTTTTAATACCAAAAACTTTGGAAGTTTTCATCTAAACTGAAGTTAGTAACAAATGTAGTTAAATACGGTTTTGGCCGATACACACAAAGACAACAAGACTGATAATATGGTCCATTTTTAGAATGATCAAACCCCAATCCCAAATCCAAACTCCTATAAAATTGAAATATTTGAATACACCGAAACAGCAATGCACACACTGGGGAAGACAAGGTAACTGTTTCATTTTAAGACAGCATCTAACACAGAATATGCAGTGAAATAACATAAAATATAAACACAGTTATTTATAATTTTACATACCTGTAAACTGCTTGTATTTAAGACATCCTGGTGTTTCAGAAGTAACTGGCTGTCCTAACAAAGACTGCAACTTTTCCTGGAAAGTCTGCATTGGTGATAAGCTTAATGGCAAGTGACACACTGTGGTTTTCAGCCTGACGGTACAATAAGAAACTGCTCATTAATAACAAAGTAGAGCCCTTAGATAATGTAATCAAGATCTGTTAAATGAATGTTCAAGACAAAATAAATAATCTTAACATGTTAGGTCCCACACCTGCTAGGAGACTGGTAATAGGAATTTTGAGGCAAAGAACATGCCTTGTTACAATAAACTTCATGCAAATTATATTAATAACAAAATACAGTAGACTAGTGCCAAGCTCAAATTTACCTTGAGACTTGATCAGAGTTCTGACAGTACAGCTGGTAGGCCACACCAATTGAAACAGACAGCTTCCAATTCCCAAGTCTGTTTGTTAACCACACAGCCTCTGGAATGAGTCCTCCAATAAAGAACAAATCAAGAGCATATTCAGCTGTCCACACAGATGAAAGGTTCTGGTCCTTGACAGCTCTGGTAACCAAACAGTGTTGCAGTGGTATAATACGAGGAGGTATGTCTGTGACACAAAAAACACGTTTTAAAGTTTAAATAAATTTGCATGCTATCAGATGAACAATCTAGAATTTATATGTTCACACTGCTTTTGGGTTCATTTCAATGTAGAACTGCTCTTCACTTTGTTAGAGAAAATACCTTGTTTGATGTGAAGCGGATGCAGGATGTCAACATTGTGTGGGGGAAAGACATAGAGCAGCTGATTTGTGAAATAAGCAGCCATGAATCGTGCCATGGATCGAATCACAGCCATAGCAGTTTCAGTATGAACATCTGTTACCATCCATAGTTCATGCTGAAAATACTTGGTATCTAAAAAAACAAGTATCAAATTAAAACACTGAGGAAAGTGATTTTAAATTTGAATGTTAAAATTGTTTAATCACAACTATCGTATTATTTAATTTCTTGACAAGCTTTCAGGACTTAGAGCTTAATCGTTTACACTAATAACACATTATATTGATATTCAAATACTTTTCTACTGTGTTTTTAATGACCAGAGATGGACCTCTAGTATCTAAATTTAGATCAGCGCTGAGTCAAAAAATCTGCTTAAATTTGGAAATTTAGATTTCATACTCTGAATTAACAGAAAAAAAATTTACAAGCATCTGCAAAAAAAAAAAAAAATCCCACTGTCAATTTGGGACTGCTGACCAATCAAGAATTCACTATTTTATCATGTTGGATCATAAAATAAAGTTAAATCAATATCAAATGGAAACACATCATTTCCCTCTTATTTTTCTTATCCGAGGTCCTTTCTCAAGCATATTTCATATTAAGAACATTTCACAGGGCATGCTTTCACTATTAATTGTACAATGAAAGTGGTCTGAACATTTACTCCACCACCAAGTGCAGATGAAACAACATCTGAGGATCAGAAAAAGATCTTCAGTCACTGAAAACGGACTTCAGTGTAAAAAGAAAGTGTGCTGTCAAGCGTTTGTGTGATGGCACAGAAATTAGACACTAGGTTATTCCAACAGTATCAACATTCCTTAACACACTTTTATGCAATATCAACATACCAGAAAACTTTTCCATCTGACTCACTGAGAGCTGTGATCGCCTTAGAATCTCTCCTACCAGATGATCACAGAGTCCTTGAGCCTCAGACAAGTTATACTGATACAGGTGGCAAAATAATATTGCAAGATAATATCTACTCTGAAGAAAGCATGCTCTTTTTCCTCCTGCATTAAAAGAGAAAAAAGGGAAGGAGTAGAGCTGGAAACGAAACAATAAACTCAAGAACAGACATAGCAGATGTTAAAGTACTAGTCCATCCCTCTCCAGAAACAAACATACAGTCTGAGAAGCAGCAGAACCCAGGAGCAGCTATTTTAGTAGATATGATCGTCCTACAACATTTAAGTTACTAGTGAGTTACTGCTCATCCCTAACAGTTTTACTTCTAAAGATCTGGCAGCAGATGTGGAAGTACTAGTCCATCCTTCTCCAGAAACATATCTATGCAAACATACAGTCTGAGAAGCAGCAGAACCCAGGAGCAGCTATTTTAGTAGATATGATCGTCCTACAACATTTAAGTTACTAGTGAGTTACTGCTCATCCCTAACAGTTTTACTTCTAAAGATCTGTCAGTTTTCAAAACAAAGCAATGTATAATTATTGTGACACAGCAAAGACAGGAGAGCTCAAGGGAGCCCAGCCTGCAAAAGAAGGGATGTCTAAACCACAATGAAATTGCTTAGACATCCCCACCAAGCTTCCAATAACCTGAACTCCTTCTGTATGAGGCATTCCTCATGCATAATAACCAGCAAAAAAAGATTTCTCATGATTCCTGGGAAGAAACTTAGGAATATCTGTTTCAAACCAACTCCTAAGTAAACACTTGGTACAAATTATTTTGTTTGGTTACTCCCCAAACACTGTGTCTTTTGATTTTACAGCTACCAAAGGAAACGAGCTTTCTTCATCTCTTTTTCACTGTCTCTTTCTAGCTCAGAAATATACCTAGAGCTTTTCTGTACCAAGTACATCATAATCACAAGAACACTCTGATATTCAAAGAGAAACGTGTGGGATTTTTTCAGGGAGCAATCAGACTTAAGTCTGACTGGTCTCTATTCAGATCCCATCTTAATTTCAAATATGCATCCTTTATGCGTCTTACACCCTTTATCTGAGGGTCAAATAACTACATAAAGTGATTCCATACCTTACCCCCTCCATCCCCACAGAAGATTTTATCCCTTACCATTTGCCTTGATTTCACAAAGAGATCTTTTCCAAACGTCCACAGAATCTGTGTATGAGCCAAAAAGGAACTTCTCCTCACCTATAAAAGTCACACATATAACAAATCAAACACTCCATGTAGTTACTTTTACACATGCAGACATGAACTTACTTCAGTATTAGATTTATGAAAAGCAGACTAAAATATGTGAGTCCTCAGCAAATTTCTATTCTCAGACCTAAATCTAAACTTTGAGCATCTGAGAGATGATGACTTTGAATACCTCTCCCTGCTTTTTTTCTTTAACTGCTAAGCCACTATTAAATGAAAATAAATCAATTCAAGTTATAATCACTCCTACAAGGTTTTCAGTAATTTGGATATTTTTTTAGATTACACAAGGTTGTAAGTGTTGTACAGAGTGATGTAGGAAGAGGAGCTAGAAGTATAACTAAAGGATATGGACAGGAAACAGAATTGTGGTGGGAACATGAATGGGAAGTTAGGCTGTGTGGAACAGGAAAGGAAGATGAGCAGACAACAGCAATGTGTAGAAAACTGGGCTACAACCATACACTGTTTGCAAAACAAATATGCCAGATGAAGTCTACTGCATTAGGTTACACTTAATTAGATGCTTAGCTGAGGCTGACTGCAGTCATGTGCATGACAGGGTCACGCCCACAGTGATCACATGGAATGAACTGGATTTCTATGTAGAAATCCAGCAAAAGACACACTGCGATGCCCATCGCTTCAGAAGAAGTAACATAGTACAAATGAGGACAGAATTCAGATCCTCTATGGCATAATGAAAACTGAAGTAAAAAGTTTTCTTTACTTAGCTCAACAGGCTCTGAAGATCAACATGTGTACTGGGTCATGACGTATGTAAGAGAAGTTTCTGATCAGAACTTTAAGAAAAGTCCTACTATTAACGTTTATTAAATCTGGTAGTCAGTTATTGATTGTTAAGTTGGACCTCCTTTTCCTAGTACTCAGTTAACCATGCAACCACCTAATATTTGTACTTATTTCCAAAGTACTAACCAGACACAGAATTAATCTTCAAATGCTGTTCCAAGGTCACTCCTGAAGACTGAAGGGTGGCTTGTATATGACTTAAGAGTGATGAGACAACAGCCTCTTCTTCTGCGTTCTTACTCACTTTTCTGTTCAGCTGCACCTGATACCAAACCACTTTCTTATACAATAATCGCCATAGTACAATCAACCTGTAGTTCAAGAAGTATAGTATTACCATCAAAAGTTAACAAAGTTACTTACATGTATTTCTTATATTTTGCTTTATATAGCTGAAAACTTATTTATATTTTAACAACTACTTTCTTGACTTCAAGGATGGGAAAAAAAATTAAACACTTCTTGCCTTGGCTTTTGACCAACAAACATTGATTCTGCTGAACTGGTGTAAGGGCAGCAACCTATTTCAAGCACTTACACTCACTCAAAATGAACCCTTGGCTATCTAAACAACAGGGAAATGAAACAATCTAGATAAACCCTAAAACAGGAACCATTGTCTCTATAAACCAGATTAAAAATACAATGAAAGCATAACACAGAAAAGCAAAGACAGACAAATAAAAGACTGCATGTTTTTAGGTCTGCAAGTCCCTGCCGCCCAGCAGAGTACTATTAGATGTACAAGCTCATGTATGTAGTAAACTTGCTGACAGAGGCAAATATACATTGTCAGGGCTTGAAAAAGCTTGCACAGAATGTGCATTTTCTTCTCCACTACTGCCTCCGTTACTACACATATAGTCTGTCATATGCATGCTGCTCAGTCCCTGGAGCACAGTTAATCAAAAACATGGATTATCTTCTCAGAAACAACTAAAATTTGCCTATCCAATTTGCAATGAACACAGTATTGTATTTTAAGCTTACAGAAGAAATACATTTTACTGTAGTAACATCAAGTTGGCCAGTTATGCTTCTTAGGTTGTAAATCTCTGGAAAGGAACAGCTTCCTCATATGATTAGCACACTTGGATTAGAGTTCTACAGAATAGAAATATTCCAGGCACAATAATATATTTTCCAAATAGGTGGATATCACACTTCAGTGTAAGCTCCTTTTAAGTTTATGTGTATATCTTCAAACAAGAAATAGCTCTGATAGAATAGTAAGTTTCCACACACTGTGGTTTTTCTTATTGCTCAGGGACACCATACCCATATTCAAGTGCAAACTTTGCTGACTAAACTGACACTGTAGATATACTGTGTATGAGCAGCCTCTTGGCTCCACAGAGGTTGGAACCTCTGCATGGGAAGGAGTGGAATGGGCAAGAGGCAGTAACAGCTTCTTAAGCTGCAATACATGGATTGATAAGGCAATACGAGATGTGGTGTGAGCTGTGAACTACCAATTACCACGCATTTCCACATATTGCACAGAAAAGGATGCTGTAATTACTGTGTAACTAAAAAACAAAATTCTTGTTCCAACATACAGAATCATGAAGTCTTCTAGGTTGGAAAAGACCATTAA